AAGACCTGTTCCTTCCTATCTTGCATACTCCCACAGGTCAGGGCCATTTAGGTGGCGGGATCAGCTGTCCCCGAGCTACCTTCTGGACCGCTATGCCAAACAGAAAGGGCTGCCTCCACCTGTATTTGACCTTGATGGCGACTCAATTGTCTACAATGGGAAAACATTCAGGTTGCAGAGCTTTGGTGAGCCCAGCACTCTTCCAGACAGCTAAGGTGTGGCACTGGGGAACCAGTGTGGACCCTAGAATGAATGAGTGCAGAAAGAAAGAAGAGATGAGGAGAGGTTGCCCTTGGTAGAAGAGCAACAATATCTTTCCAGTTTTCCCTTTTCTTCTCATAAACGGCTACTGTAGCCAGATACACAGGCAGGGCTGGGGAGGGTGCTCAGGTGGAAGTGCTAATGACCTCATGATCACATCTTCCATCCAGAGTCCACGCCCCCTACCTTTGAGGGTTTGGGGCCTAAGAAAGAACGCCTGGCACTATACATCCTGAACACCCAGGGCCTGGTTCCTGAGCATGTGGAGACCCGCACACTGTACAGTAAGAGTCAGCCAGGTATCGACCAGGTATGTGACGACAGAGGGGCTGCTCCTGCCTCCTACAGATTGCACTGGATAAGGAAATGGACGTAGTTCACAGTGAGAAGCAAGGGCAGGTCAACAACTCACATGTGTGCACAGACAGGAGTCAAGCATGTTTTGCACGTTAGTAAGAAGATGCTCCAATGATGTTACTTAGAGAAGGTGACGCCTGGAAAGGCTGTAAGAAATGGATGTCTCACAGCAGTGTGGGACGCTCTAGGGTGTCCCACCAACCACTAGTACCACTGATTTTGCTCTCCTGAGGTGTAGGGAGGGGGCGCCATAGCTCAGAAGGCACAAACACGGCAAAACCCAGTTCGAGCCGCTTAACTGCAGACTGTCTTCCCTATATGAAGGAACCTAGGGCACAGCTCCTGCAGGGGCACCTTAATTATGGCTCGTTGTCCAACTATAAACATGGCTCCATCGTTCCACAAATCTTTCACATTCATCAAGTCTTCTGCTGAGCAATTTTTAAAATAACCATCCTCATTAAACTGGCTTTCTCAAATGGGTCAGCATGGGAGAATAAAAGTAGGTCAGGTGGCTGGACAGGCAGGACATATTTACCTATTTTCTAAGGCTGGTGGGGCCACCCTTTCCCTTCCTCTACTTAGCATTTTCACCACTAATTCTTTCTCTCAGGACTCTACTTCGTGGCCAGCATAATAACCTTAGGTTGTGGTCACACAACAGAGAGTACCTTACTGACCATCCAACTTTCTTACTTAAGGCTTGCATGCTGCTGAATACATGAGGCCCAACCCCAACACGGATCCCCATCAACAGGCCACCCAGCATGACCTCCTTACGCCCCACCTCCAGGACATAAGTGAAATCTCAACCCCCACTCTTAGTCTCCCTTCACCCTCCCTCACTTGCCTTCCTAGCCAAAACTAAAGGAGCTGGCAGGTGATCACTTGCCACCTCCCAGCAATCTCCAGGCCCCCCGCCTCTCATCCAAGCCTCAGACCCTCATGCTACCTAATGGAAGGGAGACCAGCAACCTCCAACCTGCAAACCCATTCTGGCTCTAGGGGAAAATACAAATGTGGGTGGATATCTTCCCCAAGATGCTGGGGCCTCCTGGCCCCCGAGTCAACATCAGCCCCAGGGAGCCTAAACGGTGAGTATATGCCAGCCCAGTTCCTAATCATGGCGCTCCAGCTCAGCCCCCAGGGTGCAGGGAGCCTCCAATCCTAGGCGGTGGGAATTCTCTATCAGATTTCGAAGGAGCTTTCCTGCCCCCGTTCAGGCTCTCTGGGCAGGCCCTCCCTCTGCAGGGCTGTGGCTGGGGTCTGGGTGGGGGTGGGGGTGGTCCTCAGCCTGGCCTCAGAGCATAGCGGCTACAGGTACGAAGTGCGCTGCATCATCTGGAGTACCTCCCAAGTGGACCTGGTTCGTCAGACCTTAAGTAGAGAGAAGATGAGTGACATCTACGTCAAAGGGTGAGGCTGGGGGCGGGGGACACCACTCCAGAAGTTCTCCCTTAGTTCTCTGGTTCTGTCACCCTGCTGGAGCCTCCTAGTCCTGAGGGAAACATCTCTCTGCCACCACTTGGGTGTGGTGGGATGGGGACCACACACAGGAGCCCCAGGTGAAAGGACTCTGGCCCCAGGTGGCTATTTGGGCTAGAGAAGGACATGCAGAAGACAGATGTCCACTACCACTCCCTGACTGGGGCGGCCGACTTCAACTGGAGGTTCATCTTCACCATGGACTACCTGGTCACAGAGCGTGTGTGCGTCCAAAGCCAGAAGGTAAGGGATGGGGAGGAGAAAACAAGGGAAGAGCCTTAGGGTCCAAGAGATTCACCATTGTTTCAGAGACCTGCAAGCTGTGACAGGACATTAGGGTCTTGTCCTTAGGCAAGGCAGAGCCCCTCTTCCTTGATAGTCTGTCGTTACCGACTAGTGGACTAACGAGTATCCAAGGGAAATGTCCACGAGGCAGGCCATAACACAGCCTTCTGCTGTCCTCCAGGACTACATATGGAGCCTGGATCCCACATCGCAAAAGTTTCCAGCCCGGCTCATCATCCAGATATGGGACAATGACCTCTTCTCCCCTGATGACTTCTTAGGTGAGGTCCTGGTGTAGGGTGTGACACTGGGTAAGCAAGTCTTCTTGCTAATGATGGCCTTTGTCTGGGCTCAGGAGTCTTGGAGCTGGATTTAACGGACATGCCCCTTCCGGCTGAGAGGAGCAAGCAATGTTCCCTCGAGATGTTGGAAACTGACTCCAAAAGGCCCTCCACACAACAGAAGCGTTTCTCTCTCTTTAAGAAGACCAACGTCACTGGATGGTGGCCTTGTCAGGTCCATGACGGTGAAAAGTGGCGTTTGTCGGTAGGAGCTGGGGAAGGTGTTTAGTGACTAGGAGTGTGATGCCATCTAACCTAGCTCTCGCAGACTTCCAGGACATTAGTCAAAGCTCCTCTGCTTTGCAGAGGTGGGGAAGTGGTTCTGAAATGACCTTGCCCCTACTGTCTGAGCAGAGCAGCCCCCACCCCTTTGTCTTTGGCATTTCTAGGGTAAAGTGAAGATGACCCTGGAGATTCTGCCAGAGAGGGAGGCATTAATCAGGCCAGCCGGGCGAGGCCAATCAGAACCCAACCAGTTCCCTACACTCCATCCTCCCATGTAAGGGCCCTGTGAGGCACAGGCACCGAGCCCATCATTCCTCCCCCTTTGTATATGGTGGTGACTGGTGGGCCTCCGTGTGGAAAGGGAGAGTTACTTCCTCCTACATGGCTAAGCTATAGTCAGGAAATAAGACATGGGGTTGGGTATAAGGGGGCTCCCCAACCTGTTACAGAAAAGACCAAAGGCTGTGGGTCACTTGATCTGAAGGTTCCTCTTGCCTTCCATTCTCTGGCATCCACTGTCATGGGCAGACGAAATGACTCCTCTTTCTTGTGGTACCGGTCACCTATTAAAAACTTCTGCTATGTTTTCTGCAAACGCTACCGCTACAAAATCATATGCCTTTCGGTGATACTGGCTGTAGGGATTATACTGTTCAACTTCGTCTATTCGACTCCGGTGAGTACTAACCACTGGGGACAGGACAAAGGCACTGGCCACTCTTGTGTCCGCTCTGAGAGTACACTTAGGTTTCTACTTTAGGCTACTCTGGTGTCTCTTCTCTCTCTAGAACTATTTGGCCATGGCCTGGATCAAACCTGAACTTCGGTTGAACCCCCCTATTAAAATTGTCAACCTCATCGGCTCAGTAAACACCAGCAGGATCAACTCTTCCATCTTTAGCATGGAGGGCTTGAAACTACATCCTTTAAAAGACCAGGGGCAGACAATCCTCCAAGGATCCAGGAGACAAATGAGAGATGTCATCCCAGAGATGCCAGCTCCACAAGGCTAGGTGACCTGACTTCCTCTCACCTGCCGAGCAAGCACCCTGTCCTTTCGGCTTCCTAGCAGATCCTTGTTTGAGTCTTCTAGGACACGTCCAAGGGACCATGCGTATTCTGACTCAAATGTTTAGAGACCACTTCTCACAAGAGCAGAGCTGTTAATTTTCTACCAAAATAAATGTTTATCTAACAAAGTTACCTTGGAACTTGGGGGTTGGGATTAAAGACAATGTGAAAGGCTGAAAATGCCAGCTCTTTATTTGAGACTTGGGGAACTATGCCACATTTAGTCACCCCATCTAGTCCTGGGACAGAGAAAATAAGGGAAGGGTTAACTGTTGAGTCCTATGCTGAGGCCATGGCGTATACCCAAGTATGAGTGCACTAGAGCCACACCAGGGACCAGGCACTACCTCATCCAGCACACATGCTGGGGTTACAATGCCCAGAGAAATAGCCTTACTCGCCACAGAAATCATTGTTTCTGCAACAAAAGCAAGAGCTGGGGCAGGATGCATGATGCTGAGCAGGTGGTTTCCCTCCCTCTCTCCTTCCTTCCCTCCCTCCTTCCCTCCGTTTGTTTTTGTTTACCACAATAGGGTTTCTCTGTGTAGTCACTGCTGTCCTAGAACTTGCTGTATAGACCAGGCTGGCCTTGAACTCAAAGTGGACAAAACTAACTTAATTTCTTGACATTCTCCTGGTACTAAGGCCAACCTCTATATCCCAGTTCATCCCCTAGCTCCCCTGAAGCTATTCTGCTACTGTGGGAAATTGTTAGGAGGGGGCTCTCTGCACTTCCTCTCTCTTGCAGAAGGGCAACATACTATCCTGCTTAAACACACAGGAAAGACAGAGGCCTGAGAAGATGAACACCCATCTGCAGCCAGGGTGACCCCTCCTCCTAGTCTAGGGAGGAGCATGAGGACTTTCCCAGTCACCCAGGGGGGACAGGGTAAGAGCTGACATACCTGAGGCTCAGAAAACAGGCTGGCGCCTCCCCACTAAGCCTATCCCAGAAGAAGGCCACTGAGCCAGGACTCATGATTGGTTCCATCAGTCACTTTAAGAATTTTCCTTGGGCTTCAAAGACCCAGAAAACTCAGTTTCAGGCCCTCCAAGGAGACTAGCCTGTAACCAATTTAATCACAGGGCAGATGGGTGAGCAGCATGTAACATTTGTAGAATAAGGCAGTGTAATCGGGGTGACACACACATAGGACCACACTCAAGCTGTGCTGCTCAGTGATCAGGACTTTGCCAGACAGAGATCGAAGGTCTTTTGCTCTCAGAGATTTGTTACATGAAATCAGCAACTGTTGCTCCTCATTAAGAAGTCAAATCTCCTCTTGGGGTCATATCTAAGTCCAGGGAATAAGAAGCTGCTTTCCACTTCAAATCCTCCAAGCAGGATCCTAAGAATCATGAGAAACAAAACATGCAGCTAAGCAGGCTCCAGTGGGTCCAGAAACACCTCCGTGTGGTCAGAGGAGACGAATGCAGCTTTCTGTGGCACACCTGGGCCTGGATGATGTCACAGCTAATCTCACGGCATCTGTGACTGTGACGGTGTCTAAGCTTCACTTCATTTGTAACAACTTCTAGCCAAATGATCCAAAGGCCTGGAGAGCTCCAATTAGGAAAGCTGAAGATGCAGGGACAGACAGGAATGGAGCAAGATCCACCCAGCGCAGACCAGAGGCTGAAGCAAGGAGCTAATGCAGAAAGTCCTAGGGCCACCTAACGGGAGCAGCAGACTTCTTTCCTAGCTCAGGATGGCCACACGGAGGACAAGTGAAGGGACACAGAGAGGCAGGTGCAAGTGTGGCAGACGTCTCCATCCCGATTGCCAAGAAGCTCAAGTAGAAAGAGCCATGGGCAGAAGCAAAAACTAGTAAGTGGGTTTCCAGGTTATATGAGTTCTGGTTTTCTATTTGGAAATTTAAAAGAAGTAGAAGGCCTGCTGCATCCAGTCTATCCTTAGGGTAGCTATCCGATTTTTGTAATTTAAGCATCACAATATATTTTTTTTTCCATGTCTCTTCACTCCTAAGTTTAAGGACTGCAGGGAAGGCACATCACAGCTGCTCGGGCCTGTGAGTGGCATCTGGGGCCAGTGAGATGATCCCATGGATGACCATGAGAATGCAGGGTCAGTGCATTCAAAGCCCCAGTGATGGAACACAGTCCCTGAACAACTGGCGACTCAAGCAGACTTGCCAGGCTGTATGCTCAGACCCACACCTCATGGGTGAACATCATAGAGGGGCTGATGGCAGCAGGCTCAGTAGAAGCGTTTTCGACTCTGGTCCTGCCATTTGTTGTAGAGTATGATACCAATGACAATGGCAAACACAGAAAACACCAGCGAGAAAAAGACGATAAGAAAGAGGGCCAGGCCACTCAGGGGTGCTGGTGGTACCGTCACTGAGGAAGCAAAAGAAAAAAAAAAAACAATCAGAGATATGGAGCCCATTCAACAATGGGTCAACAGCTGTCCAGTTCCTGGTTTCTGACCCCACTTCTGGGGAGCCCAAGCCCTAACCCCCCCTCTCTAGATGACTCAATTTAAAAATGAAGCAGCTGTAACAGGACAGGTGGGAAGGTAGTGCAGGCATCCAGAGGAGCACCAAAACACCAACCCGACAGCTGTAGATGCCAGTTACCCCGGAATCCATGAACACTGTAACCTCCTCCCTGACCATGCACCATCTCCCAGGGTCCCACACTCACTCTCAGGCAGCTTCAGATTGTCCACTGAGGGCAGGAATACATCTCGATGTAGCTTTTCTTCTTCTGGGGTCCTCACCCCCGTCAGCTCAAACAACTTGAGGGAAATGACATCATGATTATCTAGAGGAGAGAGTAGAGGATTACTCCAGCTGCCTCAACATGAGGGCTTCTGGAGTTAGTACCTTGGCTCAAGTCTCTGATCCAAGCTCCTCTATCCACTGATAGTAATGCCTTGACGCAACCTGGACATCTAAAGCAGAACAAGAACTATTTCAGGGGAGCAAGGGGACTAACAGAAGGGAGGTGGAAGTGAGACATGGTGATGGGGGAGGCAAATATAGCATGTCGTCTCTCATATGGGAATCTAGACTTAAATACAGAACACAAATGCAAAAGGACGATATAAGGGAGAGAGAACTAGCAGAAGGGGCAAGAAGACGGGGAACCAGGGCCGTGAATAAGGTCTAAGGAAGGACAATGACACACACGGATGAAAGTGTCATATGAGGCCCTGTGATGGCACATGCCTGTGATTCTAGCACTTGAGAGGCAGAAACAGGAGAACTGACACAAAGTCAAGGCTAACTTGGTCTACATATGTGAGACTTAGGCCAATATGGGCTACACAGTGAGTTGTATCTCAAAAAGCAACAACAGCAAAACTCAACAAAAAACAAACTTTAAAAAAAAAAAAGTTAGCCGGGCGGTGGTGGCGCACGCCTTTAATCCCAGCACTTGGGAGGCAGAGGCAGGCGGATCTCTGTGAGTTCGAGACCAGCCTGGTCTACAAGAGCTAGTTCCAGGACAGGCTCCAAAAACCACAGCGAAACCCTGTCTCGAAAAAAAACCAAAAAGACAAAAAAAAAAAAAGTTAAAGCCTCATCATTTTCTCATCTAAAAGAATAAGACATTGAATATATTCTATGTATTTTGCTGGCAAATAATTATATAATAAAAACCAAAAATATTGAAAATAACTGGGGCTAGAGAGATGTCTCAGTGGTTAGGAGCACTGGACCAGAGTTCAGTTCCCAGCATCCACATCAAATGGCTCAGACGATCTGCAGCTCCAGATCCAGAGGATCTAGTGTCCTCTTGTGGCTTACGTAGGCACCTGCATACACATGCACCTATAATACACATACACACAAATACAATTCAAAACCTTAAAAAGTACAAAGATAATTAAATCCTCTATCATACATTGAGACCTTTTGGTAGTACGAGGAGACACAGCAGCACCGCAGCTTTCTCTCGGTAGAGTATAAGCACACACATGCAAAGAGAGGCGGAGAGGAAAAATGCTCTCCCACCATCTGTTTAACGGGTCTTGGTCAGGGCAATGTTACGTGAGTGAATAATTACTTGAGTAATTCCAACGTTACTTGGAAGATGCTGCCTTACAGACTTTGCTTCTTTGTGTCTGTTTGGAATCCTGACCCTGATCTCCCTAATGCTACTAGAAAGGAGACCAAGAAACTAGAGACTTGATTTCTTAAACTAGAGACTGGATTTCATAAAACAAGTTTATGTGCATAAGTACTAGTGTGTAAGGCAGAGTTTTGCAGTGCAGTACAGGCTGGCCTTGACTGATGGGCCTCCTGCTTCAGCCTCCTGGGTACTGGGATTACAGGTGTCTGACACCATTCCAGGCCCTGCTTCTCTCATTTGTTTGTTTGGTCTCTGCTTGGTTTTAGGAGACAGGGTCTTAGTATGTAGGCCAGGCTGCTGACTGCAAGCCTGTGACTTTCTCGTCTCAGCCTTCTAAAATGCGGGGATTGTAGGTGTGAGCCACTGTACTTGACTTCTCTTTTTAAGTTTTTTGTTGTTGTTGTTGTTAAGTTGGTTTGGGGCTTTTTAAGAATTTGTTTGTTTGGCTGGTTGAGACAGGCTGTACTGGAACTCACAGAGATCCATCTGCCCTTCTCCTGAGGGCTGGAACTAAATGCGTGTGCCATCATATATGGCCTTCCTGGCTTTTCTCAGACGTTCAGATCTGCAGTCAACTAACCCTTGAGGAAGCTCTGCCCGCTTCAGTGGGGACTAATATTGAGCACTGATATTGAGCCTAGCCTGAATTTCTGATCATTTCTTGGGCTACATCCTAGTCCCTTGGTCTGCTACTGCCATCAACATCCAGAGCAGAAGAAACTGCCTTCATCTTCATTTGGAAAATGTTTTCATTGTCAGAACCAAGCTTAAACTCCAGGTCAGAATAAAAAGCCAGGGCAGGCCAGGTATGGTAGCACATAAGTAGTCTCAGCACTTGAGAGGCTGAGGTAGAAAGATCCCAAGTTTATGGCTACATGGCAAGTTCTGGGCTAGCCTGGGCTACATAGTCCCTCTCACAAAACAAAGAAATAAAATATCAAAAGAAGTTACACAGAAAATGGATCTTCCCTTTTTTCCTTTCCTTTCAAGGCAGGGTTTCATTTTGTAGCTCAAACTGACCTATAATTGCTACGTAGCCCAGTTCATCTTTCTTTTCTTTTATTTCTTTCCTTCCTTCCTTTCTTTTTTTTATTTTTTATTTTATTTTTTTGAGACAGGGTCTCACTTTGGAGCCCTAGCCGCCCTGGAACTCACTATGTAGACCACTATGTAGAGAACCACCAGCCTTGGCCTCCTCCTTTTTCCTTTCCCTTGCCTTTCTCTGTCCTTCCTTCCTTCAAAACAAAGCCACGGTAGAGTTCTCTACAGTGTGTGGACATCAAAGCCTGGGACAGCTGAGAGCTATTTGAACTTTCTCAACAAGTTCTTGACTAAGAAAAGTGAGACAGTGCTAGGTGTGGTGCCTATAATCCCAGCACATAGAAAGTGGAGGAAGAGCTGGGCGGTGGTGGTGCATGCTTTTAACACCAGCACTTGGGAGGCAGAGGTAGGAAGATCTCTGTGAGTTTGAGACCAGCCTGGTCTACAGAGTGAGTTCCAGAACAGGCTCCAAAGGTACACAGAGAAATCCTGTCTCGGGGAAGTGGGGGAGGATTGTATCATTGGCTCAGGGTCAGAGTACAAAGCAAGATTGTCTTAAAACTAAAACAACTAAAAGCCACACAAACTAACAACAACAAAACTATATTTCTACAGGTTAGAAATTTATGATTTTTTTTTAATTGCCTGCCTGGCCCAAAACTAGGTAGAGTGTTAGCGTGTCAGTCAAGGAAGGTTAGCATTTCAGAATGCGGGTGAAATGAGCTGGAATGGCCTAAGAATGGTGAGGACGAGAGCACTGTGCATGGCAAGCAACAAGCTCAGCTCAGGAGCAGGCAGACGGCTGGCAAACTCGACATCTGTTCCGTTCAAAAGTCTGAATAAAGAGGGACTGGAGGTTGGTCAGGAGAGGGATGCTGGAGTCGAAGCGCAGCTCTGTGACGGGGGGAACTGGGCCCAGTAGTAAGTGCAGAAGAGAAGACTGGCAGTAGGAAGGCCAAAGAGGCAGGGAAGCAAGGCATTCACACCGGCTGGAAGAGCTGCTAGACAAGCGCAACTAACCTAACACTGCTTAAGTTAGTTCCTGCACACAACTGTCGCAAGAGAGCCTGGGTTGGAGTTTTTACAGGACTTAGACAAAAATGTACAGCATTCTTAAGCCATATGCATGGCTTCCCAAAGCTCTTTCAATTGGCTCTCCTCGGAGTAAGGCCTCATCAAGCACTGGGGACTGACCAAAGGGATCAACTAAGGCAAACAGAGAAAACAAAACACAGTGTAATACCAGAGAGATCCCCGGTGATGGAGGAAGTGCCGAAGTAATAGCCCCGGGGGAGCCGGACCCCAGGCATCTCAATGCAGTCCCTCCACTCATGTTTGCCATCAATGTCCATCATTATCTAGAACAAAGGAAAGATATATCAGGGACAGACCACAGGAGCAAGGGCAGTGCCTATCACCAACTGCTCCAGGACAGGACTCACCGTCAGGTGTCTCTTGACATAGCGAATCACGAGGAAGGTGTCATAACGAAGATTGCGGACAATGGCTGTGCAGCCCCCAAGCTCTGTGGGCCGCCCATCCCGCTCATGATCATAGCTGAGGGAGCCATTGTTCACCATGGCGGAGATGTAGGGGAATACCCGCTGGGACACAGGGAAGGAAAAGCAGACAGTGAGGAAGAGCTCTTAGCAATGCCTGTACAATCCTGAGAGGAAACAAGCACCTTTTGGATCAGCAGAGCAGGTCACCCTGCCTCATCTTAAGAGCCATCCCCAGCACCCACAAACAGATGATCACGCAAGGGACACGGACCCAGGAAGCACTGAATTCCACACGATGTTAGTAATTCTCCTTGCTCCAGGCCTCGGGCAGACCTGAAGTGGCCCTGTTAGACTCTGGAGACTGGCTCTTTTCCTCCCAGCTATCATCATTTGGTACTTAAATGCTAGCCGTTTCCTCTTAATGGGCAGATACCTTTCTCCCCAGCTGCTGCTAGAAGAAAAGGAAATCATCTTCCAGGTCTCCACTTCAGCCCTATCCCTCTGCCCAAGCAAAGGGTTTTGCACACAGCAGGTATTCTGAAAATACCTGTTTGAGTGGGCAGGGAAACCTTTCCAGTCTGGATAGCTCCTTTCAGACTCTACCCTACCAGTGTATGATGCTAAATGAAGTGGAATCCAGAAAGCTCTGCTGGAACAGGCTCTGGTGGGCTTCTCTAGCCACAACAACTTTTCATAGTCAAAACTTTCAGCCCAGCCACACATAACTTCCAAGACTGCCAATAGTAAGAGAGCAACATCTCCATGTTACCAACTTGGGTTTTACTTCTTAAGGTGCCTTCTCTCCAATAGAGCTGTAGAAGTAAACTTCCTCACAACTGCTGAGCTACCATTCCAGAATGATCCCAGTGCAAGTCAATGCAGAGGGGCAGGGCGATGGAGGGGGGGGGAGGGGAACACAAGGCATGCTGCTCCTTGGACAAGCTCCACACTGTCCCGGTGAACATGCAAGGAGGAAATGCAGTCAAGACCAGAGACTTGGAATTCCTGGGACAACAGCCACATGGACTCTAAGCAGCAAGAAATGTCAGATGGACATATGAGAATGAGGGAAGACCACGGTGAGTCAAGAATCGGGTACCTGGACTCCTGGAGAATAGCGCCTCTTCTGGGCCTGAGAGGGTCCAGCAGGTTATTACAGAAACAACACAGAACACAGGAGACCAAGTTAGAAAGAGACAGCCTTGGAAGAGCTGTGACCCTGCTGTGGTAGATGAATTCCCAGCCTAATTGCCCAGACAGAATTCTAGGGTCCACAAAGGGCACCCAGCAAGTTCCTGACTCTCACAATATGTATCAGAGTAGACGCACAGGTGTCTGTGCTTTTGTAAGGCTGTCTGGTACCACCACCACCAGATTCCCAAGGGAGGCTACTACAAAGGTGTCTCTACCCCATGGAGGGGCCTGGGGCTTCCAGCAACTTTATAAAACACACCATCATGCACTGTGCCCAAACACAACTGGGTTGTCTCCCAGACCACTGTATTTCTATAGCAAAGAGAGGGACAAGACTACACTCTTCTAAAGTTGAGATGTCTTCTCAGGGTCTCAGGATACAGCTCCTGCCTGAAGACAAAATTCCCACTGTATGAGACCATGAAATTAACTCTAATCCAAAGGGATCATCCACCCTCTAATTGAGCCTCACGGACATCCATTTCCAAATAACTGCTGTCACGCCAGCCTACAACCCGGGGCAGGGTGAAGCTCTGCGGAATGCAGCAGCCAGCAGCATAGGAAAACCACTGGGCTTGAGGGCACTTTAGCTCTGCCTCAGCAAACTTCCACAGCTCTAAACTACCAGCATTGAGAGAAGCCCGTACAGGCTCAGCTCAGCCTGGTTCATAGGTGGGGGAAGGGGACCCCAAAGCATCACTCCTCTCATCCTTAGTGAGCACTTATGGTAAGAGCCAGTACTGTTTGAAATGCTGGGATCAGTGGGAAACAGCCCGGACTGGTATCTGCTCTCACAGGGCTAACCCAGAGTGGGAGAGACAGATAAATAAAATTTAGTAAAAAGCAAGCAGATAAATAAAATTATTTCGGCCGGGAGGTGGTGGTGCATGCCTTTAATCCCAGCACTCACGAGGCAGAGGCAGATGAATCCCTGTGAGTTCGAGGCCAGCCTGGTCTACAAGAGCTAGTTCCAGGAAAGCTAGGACTGATACACAGGAAAACCCTGTCTCGAAAAACCAAAGAAAAATAAATAAATAAAATTATTTCAGACAATGATAACTGCTATGGTAGAAAAAAAGGCAACACAATGGACAAGGGAACTCTGTTCTGATGGGACCCAGTGGTTAGAGGGATCCAAGTATCCAACATCTGATCTGATGTGTTAAGAACAAGAGGTTGGCACGTTGATAACTCAGAGAAGACAGGTGTATCTGAAATCCAGCTAGTAAGGAAGAGGCTAGTGAAAGACAAGGCACAGGACAGTATATCAGTCTCATGGGTGGGCGGGTGGGGGGAGGGCAGAGCAGCTTTGCAGAAGTTGTTAACCACTGGCAGAACGTAAACAGGACCTGAGAGGCATTTGTCCATCAGAGGATGATAAAACACCATAAAGTTACTCTTGTGCAACTGTCACTTAGAGCAAGGTAATTGCCAGTGTGTTATTAAGCAATTAACAGAAATGGGATTCTGAGAAAGCTTGTAACTTCAGAGAACAATTAAGGAAAGGAAGGGATTAAAAAAAAATGCCCTGGGGTGCTCTGATGACTCCAAGATTTGCTTCATTTATCACCTCTAATCACAAGTTTAATTTAGAATTTTAGAACGCCTAGGACAGCATTTCTTAGTCACAGGTGCCCCACTCTTCCCAAAGCTGGTGTGTGTCATCTGATCATTCAGGAAGAGCCAGGTGGTGTGCCGTGCCCAAGTCAATTGAAGGACCTTTCAGCATTACACATACAAGGGTACCCCGTAGAAGAATTTCACCATCGTCTAGAGTGGGACACAGGGATTAATTCTTGTTTTTGTGTTTTGGGACAGAGCTTCACATAGCCCTGCTGGCATCAAACTCTCTGAGTAGGGATGACTCTTTCTCATCTCTCTACCTATACTTCCCAAATGCTGGGAATAAAGAAAGTGCGTGCAGTTTCATGCAGCTCTGGGGGTCCAATCTAGGGCTTCCTGAATGTCATGGAAGCACTCTACTTGAGCTACATCCTCGACCTCAGGAAGCCCATGACACGCAGACACTGCACTAGATGACACTGGGCCCCAGGGCCCCAAAGCTACAATCCGTCTGCTTTAGCAACTCATATTATTCCTTCAACTCTTAACCTCACATAGCACTAAGTCACTGAATGCCAGCTCGTTTTCCACTCCTAGTTAGGAGTTTTTAAAGTGTTTCTTGCATAGCCACCGATTCACAGGGCAGCAGATTGACAGCCCTACAGCCGGTAAGGTGAGTTTCACTCCTAATTTCAGAGTCACCAAAAATGAGAAATTCCCACCTGTTGTCCAAATGAATACTGTCTATAGCACAGGAAATGTCTCCATACTTTGCACTATAGAGCTGCTTATGGTTTTTAAAATGACCCTCTATTACTAGCTAATTTTTGTTTTGTTGTGTTCTATTTTTTTTTTTTGGAGAGAGGGTTTCTCTGTGTAGCCCTGGCTGTCCTGAATTGCTCTGTAGTCTAGGCTGGTCTCAAACTCAGAGATGTGCGTGCCTCTGCTTCCTGAGTGCTGGGGTTAGAGGTGTGTGCCACCAGATTCTTCTAGCTAAAATTTATAGCATTCACTCATTAAAAAGATACTAATGATTCTTCCTTGGACCCCTCCCACTCTCGCAAGTTTTCTCATTTTTCTCTCTTTTATGATCACTAGTGTTTTGCCTCATGTATGTCTGCGTGAGGGTGTTAGAAGCCCTGGAACTGGAGTTACAGACATGTGTGAGCGCCATGTGGGTGCTGGGAATTGAATCAGGCCCTCAGGAGGAGTAGCCAGTGAGTGCTCTTAACGACTAAGCCGTCTCTCCAGCCCCTCACTTTTCTTAATAAATCAACCTTTTTCATTTTCTTTAAAAAACAGCAGCAACAACAAAAGATGCTCATGGAAGTAGCTGGGATGTAGCTTAGGTGGCAGAATGCAGAATGTGCAAGGCCTTGGGTTGGACGTCCAGAGCCACATGAAACTGGGCATGGTGGCACTTGTCTGTAAGCCCACAGTCATCCTTGGTTACACAGCAAAGTCCAGGAAACCGTTTCTCCCTACCATCTTCCCAAAAGGATACTCATGAACTTTCAGATTTGTGAATTCTATACTAAAATCCTACAGGTCCAAAGCACATAGGCTGATCACCTAACAGAAAAGAATACCGAGGGCCTCTGGAAGCAGAGAGCTGGGTCCAGCTGTCTTACACTGCTTACGGCTGCATACATTTGGGCGAGCTATGTGACCTCCACATCACTATTCTTATTGGAAGCAGGGAAAATTATGTGTACAGCTCATAGGACTAGCTATGGGAAGAAGATGTGATGGGTGGACCACCTGGCAGAGTGCCTGGCATTCAGAGGAAGACAATAAAAATCCAGTCACTTAATAACTAAATTAATGGATTTTTAGATTAGATATTATTCAAAGCCAGACTTTCATGATTGAGGGGAGAAATTTCCTTGGCTGACATAGACCATCAAAATGTGCAGAAATATTTGGAAATTGATAGGTTCAGTTTCTTTTCCTTTTTTTTTTTTAATTAAAAGTCATCTAATACCATTTTACAAAAGCACTTTTTTTTTTCTTTTTTCAAGACAGGGTGTCTTTGTGTAACAGCTCTGGCTGGAACTCACTGTCGACCAGACTGGCCTCGAACTCACAGGGATCCACCTGCCTCTGCCTCGAGTGGAGTGCTAGGATTAAAGGTGTGTGCACCAACACCACCTAGCACACAAAAGCACATTTTAACAGCAAAAAAAAAAAAAAAAAAAAAAAAAACCCCAAAAAACAAAAACAAGACACAAAGAACTATATAACTTCCTAAAACACACTTGAATACTTAGCACACAGGAATTTACTTCTCTATTCAGAATTTTGGACAGGGAAACGGTTTGAGCTCACCGACTAGCACAAGGGGG